AAGGGCGGGGTATAAACCCAATCTCTTCTTCTTCTTTTACCTCCCAGGGTGTCTGTTGTGGGGAGGGGGAGGGAAAGGAGTTTGTAAGCCGCTCTGAGACCCCTTTGGGGAGTGAAGGGTGGGATATAAATCCAATCTCTTCTCTTCTTCTTTTACCTCCCAGGGTGTCTGTTGTGGGGAGGGGAAGGGAAAGGAGTTTGTAAGCCGCTCTGAGGCTCCTTTGGGGAGTGAAGGGCAGGATAGAAATCCAATCTCTTCTTGTCTTCCTCAGTGATAGAGTCTCTGCTTGGCATGCCAAAGGTCCCAGGTTCAATCCCCAGCATCTCCAGTTAAAACAAGACTAGGCAGTAAGTGATATTAAAGACCCCCACCTGGGATGCTGGAGAATGGCTGCCAGTCTGAGTAGACAATACTGAGTAGACAATACTGACCTCGCTGGACCAGGCAGTACAAGGCAGCTTCATGTGATTTTCTTCCCCACTATGGATCTTTGAGGTTCCCTCTAAGCTGAGTTCACAGTTTTTTAGCCTCTGGTTCAGACATTTGTGTCTTAGCTCAGGAAGGAGGGCTCCAGAGCACACTAATTTATGCAGCAGCCCAATCGCTGGCTCACAGCTTTAATGCCAGCAGCTCACAAAGTAGAGTTTTTGCTCACAGGACTCCATAGCTTAGTGGGAGCATTGGTCCCGGGAGTTCGCCTGGCCACACCGGGAGGATGGCAACCCGACTCCGCCCCCAAACCCCCAGTCACTTTCCATCCTGGGTTTGGCCACACTAACCCTCACTCCCCCCCCCCGAGTCCCATATACGAGTTCCCTTTGGGAAATGCACTCTGCACATGCCCCGCGGTGCAGCTCCCCCCCCCCCGCGTTGCAAGGCGGCGCTGCTCCGCGGGCTCCCCTCCCCCGGGCGGGGCCGGCCGCGCCTCCTCTCCGGGAGGGCGGAGGCGGCTCTATAAGCTCGGGCCGCCGCTCCTCCGCCGGCTTCTGCTTCCTCCTTTCCCTCCGCCGGGTTCTGGCCTCTGCCCCTCGCCGTCGCCTCTGGTCTCCCGGCCCCGCCGCGCCCCTCGGCTCCCCTCGCCGCCTTCCGCTTCTCCTCCTCGGGATTAGGTGAGTAGGCGACCGGGGGCTGGGGGGCTCTTTCTTTCCCTCCCCCCATTTCCCTTATGGGGGGCTTTGTCTTGTCTGGGGGGCTCTCCTCTCCCTCTACGCCCCCATCGCCCGTGGGGGGCTCCGATCTCTCTCCTGCCGCCCCCTTTCTTGGGGGGGGTCTCTTCTTTCTCTCTCTGCCCCCCACCCAGTCCGTAGGGGCTTCTCTTTCTCTCCTGTTTCCTTTGGGGGGGGCTTTGTGCTGTCGGGGGGCGTCTCTCCTCTTCCTCGACGCCCCCCAGTCCGGGGGGGGGGTTTCCCCTCGGGACGGCTTTGTACTCTTTCTACGCCCCCTGTCGTCTGGGGGGGGGTTCTCTTGTCTGCCGCCTTCTCTTGGGGGGCTTTGTGTTCTGGGGGTGCTCTTCCCTCCACCTACGCCCTCCCAGTTGTGGGGGTCTTCTCTTTCTCTGCTGCTTCTTTTTTTTGGGGGGGCTCTTTGTGCTGTCAGGGGCATCTCTGGTCTGCTTTTCGGCACCTCCATTTTGGGGGGCTTCCTCTGCTTCTCTGAGGGGGCTTTGTACTATGGGGGGTTCTCATCTCCCCCTGTGCCCCACCATAGTCCATGGGGGGCTCCTCTTTGTCTCCTGTCTGCTGTTTTCTTTGGGGGGCTCTCCTCCCTCCACATCCTCCCCCCACCCCGAATTTTACCTCCTCTTAACGCTACGCTCTTGGTCTGTGTCTCGTTTTCCCCATGGAAGGATCGGCCTCCCCCCCCCCAGTCAAAGGCATGTCATTTTGGCCCTGCCTTTTCCCCAAGGAGCTCAGCGCTGCCCTGGTGGTGCTCAGTTCTCTCCTCACAACAACACTGCGAGCAGAGGTGAAGAAGAAGAGATTGGATTTACACCCCGCCCTTCACTACCCAAGGGAGTCTCAGAGCTGCTTACAACTCTTTTCCCTTCCCCTCCCCACAACAGACACCCTGCGAGGGAGGTGGGGCTGAGAGAGCTCTTGACAGAAACTGCTCTTTTTCAAGGACAGCTCTTGCGAGAACTATGACTTGCCCAAGGTCATCCAGCAGCTGCAAGCAGAGGAGTGGGGAATCAAACCTGGTTCTCCCAGATTAGAGTCCGCACACTTCACCACTCCACCAAACTGGCCATCTAGTCCAACCCCCTGCTCTGTGCAGGATCCGCCTACAGCATCCCTGACCAAGTGTTTGTCCGAATGGGAAGGACAGGACAGGAAAAGCACAAATTGCAAACCTACACAGTTTTGTAAATCCTGCATCCCAAGGTGCGCATAGGGGCAGCCCAAGAGGGGTGCCAAACAAGGCTGCTATGAGGAAAGGTGGGTCAGTTGGTCCGGATCTGGGGGGGGGAGGCAGCAGACAAGCCCCCCCCCCCAATCCACCACTGATTCCTTGAAAGGGTGGCCTTTGGCTGCATCAGAAAGAGGGCCACAGTGAAACATGACCCTCTGCCTAGATCTCTTCCTGTCACTCAAGCCTTAAGAGATTTATCTAACCACCATCCTGGGCAATAACACAACTGCAAACAAATTCAGGTTCCAGCAGCACCTTTAATACCGACAAAGGTTTATTCAAGGTATGAGCTTCCGTGTGCAAGGCACACTTAAGAACATCAGAGAAGCCAGTGTTGGATCAGTTTGCAAGCCGCTCTGAGACTCCTTTGGGTAGTGAAGGGAGGGGTATAAATCCAATCTCTTCTTCTTCTTC